TCTGTGGCTGTGCAAAGGAGAAGGTCACACAGTGTCTGTACATTGTACTGCTATATATATATATATCGTCACAATATATATATATCGTCAAATAGAACTGCCCGGTAAACCGTAGGCAGAGAGGGAGAAGAGGACATATATATATATATATATACATATATATATATGTTCTTTCCGTGCTCCTTTCCGCATGCTATCCTTGATCTTCATGTAATGTGAGGCACTTGTAGGGGTGCGTTGTTGAGGTGTGTCAAAATAGTCAGCTACCGTTTGGTGGAGTAAGTGCCTGTACCACGACTACCGTCCTCACCCGAATAGAACACGCAGATGGTCATTAAAGCTGTATTTGGTGCAACGTCCAGACTATGTACGGCGATAATGATCACCAGACGTTCTATTCGGGTGACGACGGTTTGGGGGCTGTTGTGTTCAGGCTGCCTGCGTTTATGTGCGTCGTTCCCCAGTGGTCACGGAGATTAATCAAACTAACCCCCTCTTGGAGGTGGCACAAACCGACAGTCTTTTCTTTTTGCCTTCTATTCTGGGGGGCATCAGTCCGGTTGGTTATAGCCGGCAAGCATGAGTTCAAGAAAGACAGTGGTAGGGATAGAAATAAGCCAAACCTTGTGGCACTACCGTCTTCACCCGAATAGAACGCCCGGTCATTTTCGCTGCACCTGGACTGAACAGTGCCCCAAAAACAGCTATAATGACAGGGCGTTATATTCGGGTGACGACGGTAGTCGCCTGTCAAGGGGGGGGCCTGGGGGGGGCTGCTGCAGGCCATCCCACCCCCCAAACCAAAAGGCCGCCGGAAAGATTACAAGACACAAACCGACAGTCTATAGGGTGTTCTTTTTTTTTCTTCTTTCTTAAATGCAGCATCTATCGGGGGCCCGGTATGGAGGTGATACGAGCACCCACCATAAATGAAATGTGGATCCCTTTGTGATCGCTCTACTCCATTGGTGAGGAGGTGCACCTGCTGGAAAAAGGGTGCGGCGCAGAGGTGGGCAGCATTGATTGCCGTCCGTGATACGGCAAAGGAGAGCATTAAGTGACCGAATTGTAGGACGTTAAGAATGGTTGAAGAGCCCCAAACAGGTTCTTGGCAGTACGGCTATTGCGACCGCAGATTAGGTTTCCTATCCTTTGGATCAGCTTCCCGTACACCACGGAGAGATCATTCATTGCACCTGGCTTGGTTTGCAGTTGATAAGGAAAGGTCATGAACAAAGACAGAGAGACAGGAGAGAAGGGTGGTGTTGGGAGCGGAGGGTGGGGCAGAAGATGGGTCTGGAGAGGAAACGGGGACAGGCGGGTGTGGAGGGGGGGGGGGGGGGGGGGGAGGATTGGGAGAGAGTGGGGCATGGGGAGGTGATGGGGTCTTGGGGAACTCGCTGCGTCGCTTGCGGCAGCTCCACCTGTGCTCTACCAGTGTCCCATCCTCGAAGAAAACTGTCTTTTATCCTCTCCCATCCTCAAAGAGAAGTGTCTTGAGCAGAACATTTGAGCTTGAGCAGAACATTTGAGGACTCTCTCTCTCTCTCTCTCTCTCTCTCTCTCTCTCTCTCTCTCTCTCTCTCTCTCTCTCNCTCTCTCTCTCTCTCTCTCTCTCTCTCTCTCTCTCTCTCTCTCTCTCTCTCTCTCTCTCTCTCTCTCTCTCTCTGTGTCCCCTGGTAAAGGGGTAAAGAAGCATGAGGGTGGCTGTCTTCGCCATTTATCCTCTCCCATCCTCAAAGAAAAGTGTCTTGAGCAGAACATTTGAGGACTCTCTCTCTCTCTCTCTCTCTCTCTCTCTCTCTCTCTCTCTCTCTCTCTCTCTCTCTGTCTGTCTGTCTGTGTCCCCTGGTAAAGGGGTAAAGAAGCATGAGGGTGGCTGTCTGCGCCATCCTCTCCCATCCTCAAAGAAAAGTGTCTTTATACGATATTCGAGAGTAATTGACTAATTGAGTAAGTAAACGACAAAAATCGATATATAATTTAATAATATAAAATATTAAAAGATTCTAAACTAAGAAAGAACATCATTCACAGGGGGGATGGGATAATGAAGTGTTTTTTTTTTTTTTTGTTTTTTTTTTGGGAGTATTTTACTATTTTTAGTATTTTTACTATTTGGTTGGAATATTTAATATTTGAATCTATCAAAACACACACACTCGGTATATGTAGTTGAGTACCGTCTTCCCCCGAACATAGCACATATGCGTTGTATTCGAGTTCCCGAAAAGAACTGGTGACTCGAATAGAAAGCATATGCGTTGTATTCAGACATTCCTGCTGTTCGGATAGAACGGATATGCGTTGTATATTGGAATAGAAAGCAACCTGTGCGTTGTATTCCTTTACAACACAGAGAGATGTGTTATGTTCAGCGGAAGACGGTAGCTTCAAGTATCGCCATGGAATTCTGATTCACATTCGTTATCACCAAACAAGCAGTCTGGAGTATCATTTTTTTTCGTACGCCAACTAGTACTGGCACCATCATCAATTTCACGTAGTGCCTTCGGGGGCCCCTATCTAGATTTGCCAGAAGGTATACATAGCCTCCAATCTGGCTTGCTGTTCTATAACCTATTTTCATGCTGAAGAGTTCCGCCTGTTCTTTCCATGCCCTGTGGCCCGTGGGTGTTGATACTGATTGCGTCATCACATTCCGCTTGTTTTGACTGTATGAATGCAAACTTGCAAAGATGTGCTCTTCGCATTCGAAAGCACATCTAGCCGTCCAAATAAGAGCAGGGTGGCTGTCACGTGACCGTGGCCCCAGCCTGTATGTTGCCAGAGGTGGAATAGTGGGCTGCCCATAAGAGCGGGGTGGATGTCAGCTGACCGTGCGGCCCCAACACTTCCAAAAGTGCAGGCCAGATGAGGTTTGGGCGTAGTAGGCTGAAATGCCTGGCACCCAGGCTGCAAACCCCGCCTGGAAAGACTCCTGGTCGCCCGGTCGGGGATGACCACCGGGCGGGGTCCCCGGCGTTCGAAGCGCAAAAGTGGACCCCCCCCCTCCCTTCGTCCCAGTTTCAGGCCTGGCAGCCAGCTGGAGCTTCATGGCGCCGCCAGGCGCAGAAAACGAAAATTGCGCGTCCCGTCTACTGGCCCCACGTCCCGTCTACTGGCCCCACCCCCGTCTACTGGCGCCGTCCAGAACTCAAATGTTCTGCTCAAGCTCATACTTCTCTTGGTGGCACTGGGTTGCGGATGGTCATTGCCAGCCTCTGTGTCTTGCACTCATCCCACCCTCCCCGCCGCCCCCCACCCCCGCGATTACTTAGCCCTATATGTCATTGTGGCCTTGACGTGCCATTCTTAAATCGCTGCGAATGTAAGCCTGCTTTCCTGCTGGCATGTCAGCAACATGCCATGTGTAGTCGATTGTTTCCAGGAAGCAATCATTGAAAGTATGTGTCTCTACTGCGTGGACTATCCCCGACCCGATTACATCACCCGCCACATTCTCTCCTATCATGTCCCACACCCACATGCAGCATTGGCCATACACCTGCTGCAACCGACCGCTGTCGGATCTCCTCCATCCTTGCCAGACGAACAACAACACCCAGCACAGCCAAACAGCGTCACCTTCATAATAACCATGCTTGTCGTTATGATTTGAGTTCTACATCACCATTATTATGCTCGACATTGCTTGTACATTGCAACTGTATATTGGTTTCAGAAAAAAAATAGTAAAAAAAAAAAAATGCAATGGTCGCGGCTCCGGCGCTTCGCTATCCGCAACTTCCATACTCGTGACATGCTGATTGAAGGTAGATTGCCGTCTTATGATTCTTGTCCAAGTTTCAGTGTGTTACACTGCTATCTGTACTCCCGCACTCTCTCTTTTTTTTTTTTTTTTTTTTTGTACTCCTGCACTCTCACACGGATGATGTTCTTTTCTTTGTGTAAAATTGTAAATACTTAAAAGAGTAAAACTACTTAATAGAGTAAATACTAAATTTTAGTCGATTTTTACAAGTAAAGAGTAAATACTTAATTGTAAATACTTACGATGTTTTGTGTGTGTATGATGAGTGGGCCTGTAATTCGAACTTGGGTCTGAAATTCAACAGTTAGGGAAAGGGGGTGGGGTGTAGAAACTGAGCTAGGGCCCTACGTGTTCTTCAAATGGTGGGAGAGGATGAGCGTACATTGTCAAAAAGTGCAGGCAAACTCCAACAGAAAGCCGCCAAAATTTCGGGAACATAGTGGAAATGTCGCGATAGCCCCCACCTATACACACACAAAGAGCACCATGCGCAAAACAACAATATTTGATTAGAAAAGAAAAAGAAAAAGAAAAAAACACAAGAAGTTAACAACAAAACAGATCCCCTTCTATTCTTGTGTGTGTGTGTGTGGGGGGGGTTGCGTCAGTGCGGTTGCTTATCACCGGCAAGCATGTTTACAAGTAACGAGGGGGGGAAAGACAAGAAAAGAGAAGGGGCAGCCTTACCCTTGTGGCACAAGCCGCCTAAGCAAAGCGGGGGCCTGCTGCGGAGCGGCCCATGCCCAACCCATGTCATTGATCGAGCCTCAGGGATCGCGTTGCAGGTCGGGAGGGGTTAATACCACCACCCAGTCACGCAGCAGGGTAATCCCGAGGAGGGCAGGGGGTAGTGGGGGGGTGATTGATCGCAACAGTCCCTCGGCTGATTGTCACTCACACTACCATCATCGTTTTTTTTTTCTTTTTTTTTCCTCTTTTTTTCTTCAGGCCGCTCTACATTGAGACTTTCTTGCTCCCCAGAATGGATACGGAGCCAGGGCCACAGGGACGTGCTCTTTTTTTTTTTTTTTTTTTCACTTTCTTGTTATACGTAAAACATTTTTTGTCCACATATTCTCCTGCCCAAGGAGGATCCTTGAGAAGAAGACGAAGGATCCTCCAGCGCCGCGGCAACAACACGAGGACGGTGCTGTTACACCATTAAATGATTAAACCAAAAAAGGAATGACCCTCATGCTGCATATTCACATGCAGCATGATGTACCAAAAAATCAGCAGTACCTAAAGGAATTGGCATCATAGCTACTTTTCCTCCTACAGTGATTAGTCCTTCTCCCCACACTGGACTAGTATTACAATAAACAAATTGCTTTCTTACTTAAAGAAAAAAAAAAATCTCATAACAATATAATAATAGAAAGAATTAAATCAATTCAATAAATACAGTCGCGGAATCTATTGAATTTAAATTAAATTAAAGACTTCCAAATAATAACCAAATCGCCCCCTAAGTATGGAAGGCCGAAGGCGCAAGAGCGCTCTTTTGTTTGATTGAGAGAATTCAAACACATCCACGGAGCACAAAATAAATAAAAGAAATAAAATTACAATTGTAAGGACACAAGGAAAGCAAGCCTAAATAGTAAATAGTAAATACTAAGTATTGATCCAAACAATTGTAAGGGCAAACACCTCCTTTTAGGGTAAAAATTCACCCTTGATTCCCCTTGAAGGCTTTGATGCACCTACTTTTTTTCTTCCTTCGCTGCATTCCAACAA